CCCCAAAACCCCAAAACCCCAAAACCCCAAAACCCCAAAACCCCAAAACCCCTGATGATGAATTAAGGGCTGAATTTATAATAATGTACTTCTACAGCTCAAATTTAAGGTCTAAGGGAACTTCATCTATTAACTCTGTTTTTAAGGAATGAAGTAATTCAATATAGGATTTCATGAAATAATTATCAAAATTAGATTACTTGTGGTCATGCGAGAGCCTTACAGATGTCACATAAATCTGCTTCTTAAAGCCCGCTGGTAATTTTAGTAACAAGGCTGCTATTTTTGTTGATATTACCCAACAAATCAGCCTGGTTGTTCTTCTGTATGTCCTTCTTATCTCTCTTCTTCTCTTTCCCAGCGCTGGGAGAACTCTTCTTCACCTCACTAGCTACCTCAAAGGCCATGGAGTGGGAGTCAAGGGTCTGTAGATACTTCTTATAAAACTTGGGATGCTTATTCTTCATATGCTGGTTGAGACTTCCTTCTGAACCGTATGACTTCTTGCAGCCTCCGCTTCCTCACTTGTATTTCCTCTCTATTTCTACTGCAGTTCTTCTTTTCCTCCTTCCTCTTTGGCTGGAGTCGCTTTGGAGCATGTCCAAGTTTTTTAGAAGTTTTTGTTGTCCTTCTTTGTCTTTGAAGAGGTCTATTTGAGATTTGTAGTATTCTAGAAGGAAATTTTAGGGGGTTTTGGTAATTTTGCAATTTTTAGCAGTATTTTAGAAAATTTCTGGTAGAGATGTTTTAAACAACTTTCGACTTAAAGACTATCTTATACACTTGCTTAGCAATAACTTTATCAAAACAAAACCTAGACTATCCTTCTCTTGGGCAATAGTGCCGAGCTCTAAGTCATTTAGTGAACAGTTTTCAACAATTCTGAAGTTATTTCTTAGTGATATTTCAGGAGTACCGATCCTAAGATTTTCGCTTGAAAATACAAATTTCTGGCAACTAGAATGATCGGAGCATTCTTTCTTTATTGGGCAAGAACGGAAAGGTCAATATTAGATATCAAAATATTTGCGAGGATTTACTGTAAAATTTTTGCCATTTGAGATTTAAATACTCTAGATTTCTTACCTATTTCCCTCTTGATAATAGCTTGAGCTATTTTAAGCCTTGAACACTCTTTGTAAAAGTGATAGTTCACTTGGAGGGGAGTTAACTTTTCTTGTGAAGGCTTTGGGGATTTTAGCATGGTATGATCCATTGTCTGAATTATGTATTAAAATTATAATTTCTATACTTTCCACCCATAAAGGGGTTTTGGGGTTTTGGGGTTTTGGGGTTTTGGGG